ACACGTGGTAGCCCCTCTACGGGAGTTTTGCAAGCTGAAGCCGAATGAACTGATCGGAGATAGGTGGGAACAACGCCATGCGGACACGTGGACAGCGATGACGGACGCGATAGTCAACGCGGTCGCACTACACTTCCCGGTGGATGACGTCCCCCTCAACCTCGAGACAGACGTGAGCGACTACGGATTGAGGGGGGGGGCACTGTTCCAGTGGGTGGAGGGCAAGAAACACTACCTAATGTTTTTCAGCAAGACACTCAATCTGGCTCAACAGAACTATGCGACACCAATGAAGGAACTACTAGCGTTAGTCTACGGGTTGACACACTTCCGCGACTACCTTGACGGCCAGCGCTTTGCGGTGTTTACGGATCACAAAGCATTAGTATATATAAATACTCAACTGAAACTTAATCCTATGCTACAGAGGTGGCACCACATTATAGCGCCTTTTAACTTCACCATTTCACATATACCTGGGGAGAGGAATGTCCTGCCGGATATGCTGAGTCGTATACATGAAGGGACCGCGGAAACAGACGTGCCAGATATACTATATGCAGACTGCTGGCAATTATTTCCCAGCTACTTCGAACAAGCACAGCGTATCTTTGGACACAACAACATAGACGTGTTCGCAGCACCCCATAACACACAGCTTCCTAGGTTTTGGACAAAAAACGAGCGCGACGGTGCATTTGATCATAACTGGGCGTTGGTTGACGGATGGATGAATCCGCCGTGGAGGTCGATACATCGCATGCTTCGGAAGATCAAAGCGGATGGGGCTACAGCGACGGTGTGCTTACCTTGGACACCTCGCGCACCATGGTTTGACCTTTTCAAATCATTTTTGCAAACCGAGAACCCGGACCTCGCATACATTTATAAAGTATGCGAAGTATGCCCGTGGGAAGACGCCGTGGGGACACACGGTCGTTGCACGAGTGGGGCTGCCGTCAGGTTTCCAGCTCGCCGAGAGCTTTACACAAAGATTAGGCTATGCCGAACCTCGACACACACCAAACCATCAGTGTTTGGATACGGCACGAGAGACGTGAGGGGGCACAACCGGCCTTTGCGAATGCCACACCGATGGAACAACAACAGCGTACACAACTCACACAGACACAGCATGAGCAAGGCCACCACGGCGCTGCCGATACTGTCCAACAATTACAACAGAACGGCCACGTTTGGCCGGGGGCATTAGAACTGGCTACAGAAATTAAACGGCAGTGTGGACAGTGTTTGGGCCAGGATACCCTACGTAAAGGCTTCCATCCGATGACAAGCATTGATGCGAAGTACCCTTGGGATCACATTCAGGTGGACTATATTCCAATGCCGGTAACGTTCACAAGACATAATAAATTTGTCCTCCGTGTATTAGACGTGGCTTCCGGCTATTTGATCTTACGTGCCACACCAGATAAGACTAAGGAAACCACCGCGCAGATGTTGTTGTCTATCTTTGGCGAAAATGGCTTTCCTCGCAAGCTACAGACATATAGGGGTAATGAGTTTACGAACAACATGGTCGCCCTCATTGTCAAGACAGCGGGTATACTTCACAAAGTATCACCACCTTATTGACCACAGGTGTTGGGGCAACGGAACGTCGGCACAAGGAGAAAACACGTTCGATACGCATCGTCTGTGAGGCAGTACCTCAAGCATGGGACGAACGTCTCCCTTTTACAATGCTGTACGTTTATTTCGGACGTCGACACGTGCCGTTTGCGGATTTCACCGATGACGTACCAGAGCAACAACCGTTACTAATGACACGTGGGCACAACGGTTGGACCAGCTCCAGGATACAATTTTGCCTACACTGCATAAGATCACTACGACCTACACGGATAAATTGACGAAGACGTTTGATCGGTTACACGCCCAGGACTTAGTCCACTTTGATGAAGGCGACGTCTTGATGGTGAAATCGGAGGGGCGAACTTCCACTGCCATGCGTCCACTGTTGGCCCGTGTGTAGTTAAAGGCCGCAACGGTCAAGGTTATGACCTTACTCATAGAGATGGGTCCACTCCCCAGGAGTTTAATGGGAAGCCGGTACGGGTTGTGTTACTAGGGTTGGTCCACCGCAGTACGGACCCACCGTTGAACGATGATCTTTGGCAAGAAGGCGGGTCAGCGTTCCGTCACATCATCAAACATAGAACGAATGATGTCACGGGTAAACTCGAGTTTCTGGTGCGTTGGCACGAGGGGGTGCCGACGTGGGAAACGGCCGAGGCCTTTGACGATGCTACTGACATTGTGGCATATCACAAAGATACGCAGACACGAGCTCGGAAACGCCGGAGAGACCAGTTATAGTTAGAAGATACTTTGTTAATAGATATAATTTTATGTTACGTGTACTTACAGTTTAGTCACCAGCTCGAGTGGTGAACAAATAGCCGAGCCCTCTAGCTCTCTGAGGTTAAATGCCAGCACAATGCTCTAACTCTCTGAGGATAAATGCCAGCACAACGCTGAGGATAAATGCCAGCCCTCTAGCTCTCTGAGGATAAATGCCAGCACAATGCTCTAGCTCTCTGAGGATAAATGCCAGCACAATGCCCTAGCTCTCTGAAGATAAATGCCAGCACGCAACCGCTTTCAGGGCATTCCTTCAATCTTTTAAGCTCGCACACTTGTGGCGTTTCAGCTTGGGGGGGTTGTAGTCAGGAAGTCCCCGATAGGGTTTATTTAGGATTAGGGTTTATTTGATATTTGGGTTTTTTTAGAGACTACCTTTTGAATTGGGTTTATCCAATCAGGTTAAAACTGATTAACGGAAAACACATGACCAAAATGATAGTCACCGGATTTAGTTCAATAAATGAACAACGTCTCCCCTTGTACGAGAGGAGTACGTTGAAATACAGTTACTCTCGACTACTCACTACATGGTGCCCCGAACACCACACACGTTCTTGAAACACGCCAAGTATGCGTGTGGTAAAACCCCGTGGGGACATACGGTCATTGATAGGGTGGGGCCCTCCAATGGCTTTCAGCTACACGAGTCGTTTCAACACCGGTTGGGTTTTGCCGAGCCCCGGTTTCCACCACAACCTCGTTGTTTGGACACGGCACGGGAAATCTCAATCCCAATAACCAGTGCGGAGGCTCAGCCAGCGTTTGTCAATGCGTCACTAGAAGAACAACAACGACGCACACAACTTACACAAGCCCAACATGAACAAGGACACCACGGTGCAGCAGATACAGTGACACACCTTCAACATAATGGCCACATATGGCCGGGAGCTCTGGAGTTGGCCACGGAAGTTAAGCATCAATGCAGCGCGTGCTTGGGTCAGGACACCCTGAAGAAAGGGTTTCACCCATTGGTGAGTAAAGACGCTCGTTATCCGTGGGACCACATTCAAGTTGATTATATCCCGATGCCGATCGTATCTAGTCGAAAGCACAAGTACGTTCTACATGTTCTTGACATCGCCTCCGGGTACTCGATCCTCCGCACCACACCTGACAAATCAAAGGAATCCACGGCGCAGACGTTATTGGCAATTTTCGGAGAGCACGGGTTCCCCCGGAAGATACAATCTGATATGGGTACCGAATTTATCAACGGGGTAGTGGCCCTCATTGTTCGGAAGGTTGGGATGATGCACAAACTCTCGCCGGCATACCGCTCGCAAGTATTAGGGGCCACGGAACGCCGGCATAAGGAAATTGTCCGATCGATTCGGATCTGTTCTGTGGCTATACCCCAAGCGTGGGATGAGCGCCTACCATTCACGATGCTGTACCAAAACCTGCGCGTATCCCGTCGGCACAAAAGTGCTCCCTTTAGCGTATACTTTGGACGCCGCCACGTCCCCTTTTCGGACTTTACCGACGATACCCCAGAGAATCAGCCAGTCACGAATGAGACGTGGGCTCAGCGCCTCGATCGCCTCCAGGATACGATCTTACCACCGTTACATAGGTTGATGATGCGGCACACGGATACGTTGACGAAGAATTTCGACCGCCTTCATACGGACGATTTAGTGCACTTCGAGGAGGGCGATGTGGTGATGGTCAAATCGGAAGGCCGAACATCAAAGGCCATGTGCTCCTTGTTTGGTTCTTATGTCGTAAAAGGCCGGAATGGACAGGGGTACGATATATCTCATCGTGATGGTTCGACTCCATCGGAATTCAAAGGTCGACCAGTCCGGGTTGAACTGATACGTTTGGTCCACAGGAGTACTGACCCACCCCTGGACGAGAGTCTTTGGTGTGAGGACGGGTCCGCGTTCCGCCACATCATTAAACATTGTGTAAATGATGACACGAACAAGATGGAGTATCTCATACGATGGCGAGAAGGGGGTCCTATCTGGGAGACGGCCGAGGTGTTTGACGATGCTAATGATATTGTGGCATACCACAAGGATACACAAACACGCTCTCGCAAGCGCCGGCGAGACGCGGTGTAACAAGTATGGCTATGTTTAGTTCTTATTGTTATAGTTATTTCTTTCTTATACGTTACCGACCATGCTCGCGTGGTTGTCAGTAACCGGGCCCTCTAGCTCTCTGAGGTTAAATGCCAGCCGATACTCCAGCTCTCTGGGGGTAAATGCCAGCGGATCCCTCTTGTTCGTGGAGGTTAACCAACGTCCTATGTATAGTGAGTAGATCTTCAACCATACGAAACTGGCACACGACCGTGCTTCAGCTTGGGAGGGTTATGGTCAGATATACTCAGTTAGGTTTATTTAGGGGTTTGAGGTTTATTTGAGAAAGGTCATACACCCTGGTTTAGGGTCTATGAGCAAATTTATACACATGTCAAATAGTAGAACCTATGGTTCATTTTATGATTCAATAAAGATACAACGTCTCCACTTGTATGAGGGGAGTACGTTGAGATATTGTTAACCTCGCGTATTTAACCACATACAGCTCTAGCACAGCAAATCATAGCCAAGCTCAGAACGATACCACCGCTGCTATAAAGCGTCACAACCCAGACAATGGCACACCAAGACAACCAGAGACAGCAGGACAGCCCCAAGAAAAGAAAGGGACGCATATACGTGCATGTCCTTATTGTAAGGTGTCATCAGTCCCACATCGATTTTATCAGCCCTATGAAGGCATCAAATCAGAACAAGAGGGCTGAGGAGCGTGGCAAGAACGATGTGCAAGTAGGCAGACTATTCATTACCTCAAGGAAGGTAGAAGAGATAGTAGATGGCGATGAGTCCTGAAACAACTGGTGGGCGGAAGCAAACATGTTTGACCTGGCTGACAGGCTTAATGTAAATACAGGTGAAGAAACGTTGTTAATCAATGCAGATGATATAATTTATCAACCTTTGTCCTTGCTTCCCGCACAACGAGACCAAAGATTACACATTGACATACAAATCAATGGCAATACACACAATGCCATAGTAGACTCCGGTGCACAACGCTCAGGTATGGACAAGAGTATAGTACCTGAACTGTATCCATCAGCCAGGGAGCAGCCGGGATTTAAGCAACTAGCACAAACTGAAGATACAAGAATACAAAGAACAGGGTCAACCCAAGTATGCGACATCAATTATG